TACACAAAAAATGAGGAATTTCAAATAGTTAATTTGATACTATATCGATATACTTTTGTCAAATTTTTATGAAATCTTCAAACATATATTTTATTTAAAAATAAAAACATCATCGCAATCTCAAAATCATATAAAGCCATATTATAACATCGACTGAGATAAATAATAAAATGAAATATTAAAATCACGATGTATCTCGCTGCATTGCACGAGTACCCTTCTAGTTTTCTATAATAACCTTTAACCCTTTTTAATCTATTAACTTTAACCTTTATGATATTTATCTATAAACCCTTAGATCTTAATTTTCTATTTGATATGCTATTTATATTAATTAATTATTAATCAATAATTTACTAACCAAAATACATAATTTTTTGATTATTTATGTATATACGACTAATTAGATTCGATATATTACGATATCTTGAAACACTTTAATTAAGTATTCTACTGGAATTCGTTTTTATAACCCTAAATTTGATGGTGTTTTTATCGTTAAAACAAATGAAAATAATCTTTATGATTATCATTTTATTAAAAGTGTAATAATTCATAGAATTTTAATTATTTATTATTTCATAAAATAAAAAACGTTATTAGAAATAAAATAACATTTATGATGTTATCAATCTAATAAATCAACATATTCAGGAGTATGATGTAAAAAAAGTTCATATTTATGATATTTAATAATATAATTAAATATAAAAATATTCAATAGTGGCTTGTTTTGAAGTACCGATGAATTAGAAAGATCAATTATTTTATTTATTTAAAACATTCAGGGATTTAATCATTTAAAATATGAAAGTTCATCAGGATTTTTCTGAATTTTGTCTCTTCCTTAAATAACTATAAAAATATAAAATGGTAAGTGTCAAAATCATGTCAAAAATGCTTAGGTACGTATTTATGATGATTAATAATATACTTTATTTCTAAAAATACTCAATAGTTATCGACAAAACTATTCTAAATATGTAACTTATAAAAAGAAATTTGCATCGTTAAATATATTTTAATTAATATCAATTATATTAAATATTTTAATAATATAATTAATATTATAATCTTAAAAATAAGATTAAAAATGAAATAAGTTTTGTTTAGAATATTTGACTTTAATTCTCTAGTTAGAGAATGGTTGGAAATATTCTAACTAGATAAAACGAAGTCGAATGTGTCACCTATCGGAAAGATTTGAATATGCTGACGTGGCCACGTGGATGTGGTAAGACACGTGAGAATGAAGGTGATAACACGTGAGGCGTGATTTGAACTGGGGTTGACGATTGACCCCCACTAAGTGGACTTTATTTTGTCCTCATCATTACCATTGCACAACCCTTAACTTTGATTGAGTTGTCACTTCAAAACCCTTAACTTTGCTTTAGTTGCCACTGCAATACCCTTGACTTTGATATATTACGTGCAGATGTTTGGACATTTCTACGACTTTTATATAATTTCTCTAAAAACACAGAAAAACAAATAGAAATCAGGTGCAAGTTGGTTCCCCAAAATATGAATTAGGTGTAAGTTGGTTCTTCAAAATGATGATTTTGAAAGTTGGTTTCCCAAAATTAGAATCAGGTACAAGTTGGTTCCCCAAAATAACGATTTTGAAAGTTGATTCCCCAAAATAAGAATTAGATAAAAGTTGGTTCCATTTTGGTGCAATTTTTCCTACTTATTAAATAAGTACTACACTAATTCCAATAGTTTTTTTTTCATTTTTAAGATTATAACCTTATTTATATTATTATTACTAGAAGGGTATTCGCGTAATACAGCAAGATATATATTGATTTTAATGTTCTATTTTATTCTTTATCTCTATCGATGTTATAACACGATTTTATGTGTTTTTAAGAAAGCAATAATGATTTTATTTTTGAATACGACTTAATCATTTCAAAAACTAAAGTCTATTAGATTTTTTAGACTTTCCTTATATTTTTTCGTACTAAACTACACATACGATCGTTTGTTACAACTTTAATCAATCAATCAATCAAACGAGTTTATAGAAAATTATGATAAATTAATGATAAAATAAATTCAAAAAATTTAGAAAAAATTAATTTATAATGTAGACTTAAAATATAAAAGTAATTAAGCATTATTTACATATGCATAATGTGGCACCTTGTCATAAAAAGTGTTATAAACTTTTTTCATTATTTTATGGTTTGGGCAAATAATTTGTTGCATATGTTATAATTAAGACCAATTAATATGTTTGTTTAGTGGATGTTAATAGTTGTTACTTTATGTGATGAAAATTAATACAAATAGGTAACATTCACCCAATAACATCATTCATTAATATCCTTTTTAGGTTCATATGTCTTCTGCCAAATCATGCCAACAATTATGCTTTTAATGTCGATGCGTACGCTTTATATTTGACCTTTTTTACATCTAACGGTTTCTTGTCTTCTGAATTTAACGTCATTACTATGGAAAAACACTTGAAAAAAATAAGATTACAGAAAGGACACGAGTCTGTCCATGATAACTAGGGCAAGAGCCTAATGAAAAAAAACCTTACGCTTGCTTTTGTATCATCCAATCTGTCTGAAATTTCATGATATTTTGTGTCTGAAACAATCTTGAAATAACAATAGACTTTGTATGAACATCTTGTTGGATGGAAACCGAAGAAAAAAGATAAATTGTACGAATGACTTAGTGGGTATATGTAGGCTTATGCCGATAGGTTTTGAGAGCTAGAAAATTGCCTTTTAGCATCTTTTAGGAAAGAACAAAAAGCAAAATAAGGGGTTGTTTGTTCACCTCTTATTAGTTCCATTAAGAGGCAACATTTAAATCGTTAAGAGGTGAATCTTGTTTGGGCAAAAAAATACGTCTCTTAATGGTTTTAAAACTCTCTGAATGATTTTGTATCATGGACCTCCCTTAACCATTCAGCGCCCTAATTTCGTTATAAACAATTACAGAACAATTATATTTTTCATTTTGCACTATATCATGAGAGCCTTTTAATCATTTTGATCATTTAATCATTTTGTACTAAACCATTCAGCAACTGCCAAACAGCCCATAAATAAACTATAATTGAAAACATAATATATCTTGATAAGCAACCTAGTCCAAGATTACACAGAGACATACTAGAGCTAAATGTTATACTTCACCATAAATATTTAATAACAGAAACCAAATCAGCTAGTAATTCTCTATAAACCCAGTTATAGTTCATTTCATTCAACAAAAAGATTAGGATTTATAAAGTGATTAAACTTTTACCTTCCTTCCTAATTAAGGGGGACGAGGTACCCACATTGAAGACTAATTTCAACATATGCTCGTGTTTACATTTTACTTACAGAGTTTTGATGATCCGATCAGATACTTATCCTACTTATAGTAAACATGGCTAATTTAATAAGAGCATGTTTAAACCAATCCCATATACGGTTGAAATTATATTGGATCGATCTTGACATTACAAGGAAAATGTATTTAGTTCGTGTTTTTTGTGTAGGGTTATTTTCGTTAAAACTGATATAAATAATTCTAGGGACTAAAGTGAAGAAAAACAAAGTTTATGGCTAAAGTTGGCAAATCTAGAAGTTGCTGGACTGCGGCTGGCTTAAAAGAATGATGAAGGTTATGACAGTAACTTTGTAGTACCTCTGACTCTGATGAAGTGTTTGAAGGAATTTCTTTCGTACTATCTCAGTACGCGTATAATCTAAGGAATATAAAATTTTGTTGTAAATTAAAAATAAAAAGTTAATTATTATAATTGTTTATTAAAAATAGTTTCAAAATCTATTTAATAAGAAATTAATAATTATAAGGGGTAATGTAACATGTCTTGTTAAATTGAAAATACATAGGGTTGGGTTCACGTGAGATCAATTTATGTTCAATGATCAACTTTATAAGGTAACAATCTAATGGTCTAAAGTTGTACGGTGACAATTTTATGATTATCGAGAAGTCTCGTGGTAATTTTGTGATTATGAATGTTCAGATTGTAAATCTAATCCAATGGTCGAGAATTGGCTTTACCAATTCGATGACATTTAATTAGAGAAATTTGAAGTGAGCAACATACATAAGTACAAGATATTAAAGAGAAAATGACACTAAGGGGTTGTTTACAAAATGCTTACTTGGTAAGTGGTTACTCGATAAATTTTCTCATCGGGTGAACATGATAAATGCCAAGAATCTTACCAGGTAAGAGCCATGAGAAAGATGAAGAATCTTACCTAGTAACTGAAAATAACGACTCTTACCCAGGTAAACGTTTACTTTGTAAATTGTTGCATTCGATACCTTTGATGTGATAAAATCTTACTCATCAAAATAAATTATAGTGTTGACTCATATCGGTAAGCACTTACCGGATAAGTATTTAGATAAACAGCCCCTAAGATATGCCATAAATAAGATTTTACACATGTTGATGGGAAGCCGACTAATCTCAGGACGATCACCTACTTTGCAGATAGCCCGGAGTCACCGTATTTGAACCTCCGTGGCCACAGGGGATTTTTATTCCTCCTTAGTTTTTAACTTGTAACCTTCTGGTAGTTTTACCCTAAAATTGTTGTAGGTAATATTTTTCTGTATTAAAATTTATAAACAATATTATATTAAATTAGTTTGTGTGTCTTTATATTTAATCCTAGTTTTTAGCACACACCAAAGATGAAAACGATAGGTTCGTAAGAGAAAGTTGGTCATGCATAGAAATCCTTTTCTAATGGGTCAAATTTATACTTTGGGCCAATAAGCCCAGCCCAATATGAAGTGGGGTAGCCCAAGATTTTTTATATAGTCTAGTAGCCCCAACTAAAAGCAAATAATAAGAAGAATGTTATTAAATAATCTACATAAATGTTCATTTGAATGTTAAATCGATTAATGTAATGTACATAAATAATTGAATTCGTCCTCACAACCCGGTGATGAAAGGAACTTCGGTAGCCCGCAACCAGGCCCGACCCGATATAAGCCTTTCCACAGTGAATTGTGATGCTTCTCTCGGGCTTGTGATAATATGGTATCCGGGCCATTTGACCCGGTTTTTGGTTGCTGCACCGGGTCCAAAGCACCCATATTCCCCGTAATACAAGGTGCTAAACGCGAAATCGGTATTCCCCCATGGAGACCACCCTTTTGGATTGACATGTTTATCGATGAATGTTTTCATGAATACAGTCCTTGAATATTCTTGCCAAGGTCGTCCTAGGAAGGTCTGGACCGATCCCACCACAGGCTTTAGGTCTGGTGCAGCCATCACACGTGAATTATGGATTGAAATTCCCGTATTTTGAAATGGATCACCACGACCTTGAGCCGTTATCATGTTTGCTTGCCCATTCAAGGGTTTTCTTGCTAAAATCATGCAGTTTTGGAACACGACCGCAGCATTGCCAAATATGAAATCAACGGTGCCATAAATGTAGCAAAGTTTGTAGAACTGTCGTTGAGCTAAGACGAAAAGGGTGTCTTGATAACCTTCAAAACTACAAGCATAGAAAACCGATAGATCAGATGCTGACCGAAGTGCCACTGCTTGGGCCTTCGCTGGGCCTGCGGTGTTTCGGAATGTTATGCCACGGGCAATGAATCCAGTGCCATCCACACCTTATATAGTTGAATTTGATCGTAACAAACAAATTAGTTGTGATAGTAACCTCATTAAAACAATTAGAAATGAAAATCTAAACCAAAGCCAACTAAATGAGACCAATATATTTAATGGGTTGGGTTTCAATGATAAATAAGAGTTAAAGATGAGAAGCGTAAGAAGTGATCTCCACCCTTAGATACACATTAGGATGAGATGGACCGAGATGTACCCGATTAATCCATGTATTTATGAATGGGTTTTACATTGTTATTTCTCACTCTTGACTATCTCTCTCACACGATATTTCGACTATATTTCATCTGAGGTGAGTTTGGAAACTTCTATCATAAAAAGGTAAAACGTTATAACAAAAATTAGAATTCGTAGTACCAAAGATTCTTACCGACGGTTGCAGAGCTATAGGTTGTGAAACCTCCTCCGACACTCCGGTCACCGGTGATAATGGTGTACCTCAGTCCATCGCCAAGAAACATGATGTTTTTCAGATCATTTCCGATCTCAAGATTCTCTCTGTAAACACCTCGTCTTATGTAGATGATAAATCTCCCATTACCACGTTTAATACTCGAAGCATGATCAAGCGCCGACTGAATCGTCCGGAACTTACTCCCCTTCGCCTGAGACACAATCACATTCGCCCTCTTGTGAATCGACTCCGTTTGCAGCAGTTTCCGATCTTTCTGTGTAACCCATCTCGGAAAATCCTCCGTCTCATCGGAATTCGTCTCTGTTTGCTTCAAAAAAACCTGATTTATAGCCAAACTATTGCTTATCATCTCCGTCAGCCCACTCGATCTTATCGGAGATACAAACGTAGTCAAATTCAATTCGCCGGAGCCGGAAAAACAAGTCTGGAGATTGGTCAGGGAGGCACTGAGCCACGTCTGAGCATCAAAATCGGAAATTTTACTGTTCTTGAGTCCCATTAGGGTTTGATTAAGCTGGAGAATGGTATTATTGACGAGCTTACAACAATCTTCCCACACCGCTTTCTTCCTTTTGCTCCGGCCATATTTATCGAGCTCGCCGGCGAAACTTTGAGTATGATGAGCCAGCTTTAAAGCGGCTTCCAGAGCCATTATTCGGAAATCAGCTCTATAACGTGGCTCGCCACGACCTAGAGAATGCTTGCAATTATCGGGATGAGGAGTCGTTTGACACCACCGGTTGATGTAACCACCGTCCGACGATTCCAGTGCTTGCATCGTTACAAAGAATAAACATAAAAGTACGATTATTAACGTTAAAAACGACACAAAAATCTTCAGACCCATTAAAATTAAGACGACGATACGATGATGTGATTGTGTTTTCGATTTGAATTTCTGTTCTTGAAAATGGGAATGTAGGGTTTAATTTTTATAGTAAAATATGAAGATTATTATGGGAGCTTAATTAAAGAAAGTTGACATCTGAAAGTAAGGCTTAATAGAATGTGTTTACTTAATCTTTGTTATACGTATCGAGCTGCCAGTTACGTGTTATTTATATAAACGATGTATACAAACATATAACGTATACAAATTGATGAGAAATCTTTCAACTTGTTATGAACGGTGTGTTTTTGGTGCAGGTTACGTATATCGATTGCTCTATCGGACGACTACGAATTATCTAAAGTCAACATATGTGAATCTCTATAATTATAAGCGTTTTTCAAACCCGAGATAGATGAGATTTTCCACTTAAGACGATTGTTTCATAATCCAAGTGGTTAAGCTATAGTTTTTTGAATGGTTTTATGTATAAAATACTATTAAGTATTTGTGAAATTGATTATATAGTTGATAAAAGGAATTTAATTTGATTTGTTATAAATTAATCGTAGGTAATTATATCAGACGATAACGTAAACCTGTTTTCAAGATTCAAGAAAACATAATTTAGCGATTGTTAATTGTTAAGATCAATCTATATATGCTTCAAGTGATACCAGAAGCTCTACAGAGTACTAAGAAAAAATCTACAGCGGCTTTACAGGATTAGAATCGGTGATCTTTTTATTTAAGCAAATATTCTAAAGACTCAAATTTTATTGTCAGTTAAACATTTTGTTGATTGTTTGTTATTATTGTTGATTTTGTATGGAACCATTTGAATTTTAACTGATTAATGGTCGTTTATCAAATCTTTACCGTTAAGATTCAACACTACCACTTACTTATCGAGTAAGTTTTTATTACATTAAAACGATATCGTATGCAACAATTTACCCGACAAGTGCTTCACCACTCGCACTTACCTGGTAAGACTCTAGGTCATTGCCTTCGCTCTTACCGAATAAAATTATTGGTATTTGTCATATTCATCCAGTAAAGTAATGTGACTTGGTAAACACTTACCTGAATAAACGTTTGATAAACGGCTCCTAAATTTATGAGGTTTAAACCTAAATTTTATATTCTCTCATTCCCAGAAAAAATGCATACAATTTTTAAAAATAATTAACATTTCAATTTTTAATTAACTAAATGAAAACTTTATTATTTGATAATAGAGAGAATAATGAATTTTTTTCATATAATTAAAAGTAGAAATATAAACTAAAAATTTACTTTTAAGAATAGATATTTATGTACAGATCAACCAAATTAGAAATATGGACAGTTATCTTGTAACGAAAGGAATATATTTGAATTGGATAAAACCCTTTTTAAAAAAGTTAGGCTCTTAGCCATTTACCAAACGTTTACCATCAAAAGTCAGCATTCTCAATTACCAGAACATTAAAATGGGTTGTTGGTAAACATTTAATTGGTAAGAGTCATCATCCTCACTTACGATGTAAGACTCTCGATATTGTTTTGCCTCTTATCAGATAAGATTTTCGATACTTTCTATGCTCATCCAGTAATGTAAGTGATCGAATAAACATTTGATAAGTAGTCTATAACGATACATATTTAAAAGAACATGCTTTTGAAAACTTTTTAACTTGTGAAATCCATGAGATCTATTTTAGACCTATTTGCTCTCCTCTCTGCTCACTTCTTTATCCTATTTTCTTTCTTGTGTCTTCTCTCTCTTATACCTCTATAACATGCACGAACACATAATTAAAAATGGACATAAGTTAAACAAATTGTAAACACTTTTTTAGAAATACTATTATAGTTTATGAACACGTTCAAAATCTACAAAATCTGGTATAGTTTGTGAATATATTTATGAACATCAATTAAATCTGAACTTACCATTTGCGAACACCATGCAAATCTTGTGAACACTCTAGTAAAAAATTCTTAAATTTGTTTACGTTATGTTCATCTTATATGCACATTTAATTGTGCGTGTGGTGTGTGTATGTTAAAGTAGAAAAGAGAGAGAGATATATATATATATATATATATATATATATTGAATTTTTTTTTTAATAAAATGCATTAGTTTTTATGGTGAAAGATCATGTGAGAAGAATAGTTAAGGTAAACATCGTAAGAAGGGATCTGCACCTTTGATCACCTTAATTTCAAACTCACCCACAAATTGTGTTTGATATAGCGATTGATCTGGTGCATTTCAATACATTTTATTATTGGTACATCTCATCCTAATGTGCATCCAAGGGCGAAGATCCTTGCTTATGCTTCCCACCTTAACTCTACTTCTCATCGAAACTCAACCATAATTTTTATATAATATATAACAATAGTTATCTCATTAATTAATAACATTAATTATCTTAAATTAATGGTTTAGGATAGATTTTACAAATTTTGGAGTTTTTAAATAAATAAAAAGACATACCATAATAAAAATCATTTATCTATACGATATACATTTGTATGTATAAATCATGAAATATTTATACACTATATAAACTATGATCATCACTTATATTAAAAAAAACAATCGATAAATTTACAAAAGAATTATGTAATTGTAATTCGTGAAATCATAAATTACTATTAAAAAAAAAAAAAAAGGAAAGGTGGATGTGATCTGTGTTTCCGTACATGAAAGGTTGTCGTGTCTTTGAATTACCTTAAACTCCAAGCAACCTGACAAAAATGGCCCTTTTTTCCTTATTTTCTTTATTTATAATTCATAATAACCAATTGAGTGAATTACAATTTTTATTTTTTATTTTTTAAAAGTACACGCATATACCCGTTTTTAAATATGTCAAATCTTTGACCCCATATTTGATTTCATTGTTTATTAAGTTTAAACTAATGATTTGGTTATTCTTAGTATAGAAATTCCAAATTAAATAAGTAATTATTAAGAAGAAGATGACAACGACCATAAACATGAAGAAGGGCCCGCAACATCGATGGTATTACGAAAAGTTGTCGGTAAATTATGAATAATTAGCGGAAAGAAAATCACATTCTTAGATCTGATTTCATACTTAGGGAATGTTTGATTCAGATAAGGGAATTAAAATGAAAATGACAGTGAATGAAAATAGAACTGAACTTCATTAACTACCTTTCTTTTAACTTGAAATAAAAATTTGGGATTCTGGAGGAAATGAACTCATTATATTATATAAAACCAAACAATCTTTTTTCTATTTTCATTGTTATTAGTTACTTCTTAATATCTCTAACTAATGTGGTTTTTAAATCAGTAGCAAAAATCGAAGTTTGATGGTATGTTATGGAAAATAACTTAACCGAAACTGCATTTAAACTGTGATCGTTACAAAACCCAAATCAAGATCATTACTAAATACAAAGTATATTTAAAGAACTCGTAGATGTTTTACTTTCATTATGAAAATATCATATTTTAAAGCAAAAACAAATCCGATAAAGAGGAGGCAAACGATTGAAAAGAGACGATGATGGTTTAGTAATCATGTATTGGTTGTATGATTTTATTTTTGGTTATATAATTTACGTTCATTCTCTTTGATTTTCGATCATAGCTTCCTGATGAAATCATTTAGACCTTTGGAATACCGAGTTCCATATTAAATGATGCATATTTTTTTTATATACTCAAATATAGGGAAAGGTAAACTCAGATCATCAACATAAGAATTAAATTCACGAATTCAATCTAGTTAAGCTTCATAGTTTGATTGACCTATACATACATACATACATACATACATACATACATACATACATACATACATTTTGGAAATTTTTACTAAAAAACCTTATGAACTTCTCGGTCGACTTTAGGGCTGCATTCATGTCCGCATGACGCGACCGTGTAAACAAATTCAATGGTCTGAAGCTTGATCAGTCCAGAACTTGCACCCCCTCTGCGTATGCATATGAGAGAGTCTTTCCTTCAACATATCTTAACATTTTATTTGCAAAATCACATATAAACTAGTACCATTTATAAGTTCCCACCAATGTGGGATAAACCACAACACCCACTTGAATGACCCTACTTTGAGATTCAATTTCTCATTCATATGAGCTCTATTTTGGACAAACTTTAGTTCGTTACAAAGCCCGTGCGAAAGGAGAACGAGATCCAACAAAGAGTTATATGAAATATGACATTTTATCCCATTAATATTTAGGTCCAAAATAGCTCCAACCCATTTTCTTTAACTCATTTTCCAACAATCCCCCTTATAAATAGAAATTAATCGAAAACTGATGAATCCTCGGGAAACCCTCAACATTCAAATCCTGCAAAAGATAGGTAGGTTACCTTTTGAACCATCCCTTGTTAAATGCACATAGTCTACTGGTTGGTCAGTAGACGTGATGTCCTTGAACTGTTCTGCCCTTTATGGAGACGATAGCACACCTCACATAGAATTCTTCCTGACAAGGCTCAGTCCTCATTGTCATGTTCGTTATGCTCATAAACATTTTGCTGGTTCTGCGAGAGCTCTTAGGAATTGTGCCCCAAAGGAAGCAGAAATGAGCAGTAAATAGTTTATTTTCTAGGTACTTACAACTTTGAAGAAAAACCGAAACAATAACCTTTTTTTTCTTTTAGTAATCTGACATAATGTAAATCTAAAACAAAAATAGAAGCAGAAAAGAAAATTATGTTCTATTTTCAATTTGAAGCAGGAGCAAAAAGAAATAAAAAAATTCAAAAAGAAGCAGTAACAACTGATTCTGGTTCGTATTCAATAATACATAAGAAGCCAAAAACAGAAGAAGATTTTTTTTGTTCTAGTTTCACGAAACGAGGCCATACATAAGCAGAATCAATAATTCTAGTCAGATGAAAAAAACAGCAGGAAACACTAGAATGAATCTGTTTTAAGATTGAAACAAATAAACTACCAGATTAGACAAATAAAATAACAAAAATATGATGGTCGAGGCTTGTGTTCGACACAGTCCCCTTAAAACAGATTCACCCGGTGGTGTCTGTTTCCCGAGGTACAACGGCCGCAACAATAGTACAGACGGGCTGAGACAACTGCCTGAGAGAAAACCGAGAGTTCACCTGAAAGCTGCTGATCAATAACACTACGTAGATGTCAAGTATGTGAAATGAACCTCTCACCATATTAGATCTCATGCCTTATCGGTCATGTTATCAATTTTAACTGGGATATGGATGGAATATAATGAAATAGAGCCAATTATAAATTGGAAGGCATGTTCCTACAGATCCCAACGAATTCCTAATTGGAATTAGGGGATCCCCCCAGATGCGTTGAGGGTTGGTTACATAGTAGATGCATTGTCGGGTTACAAAAGGTATCATAATTGCAAGAAGTTGGAAAGCCAATTTGAGACATATCTTAACATTCTCATTTGCAAAATCACATATAAACTAGTCCCATTTGTAAGTTTCCGCCAATGTGAAACAAACCACAACATCCACTTGAATGGCCCTCGTGAAGGAGCAATAAGAAGTTACATAAAATATGACATTTTATCCCATTAATATTTAGGTCCAGAATAGCTCCAACCTTTTTTCTTTAACTCAATTTTCAACAATATGTCTGTATGAAAACAGGTATAAAGATTGATTTCATCTGGATTTTAACCTTTTCTAAAATATCAAATCTATAACACTCAATGAACTTACTCATTCAATGGATAAACACGTCATAATCTTAATGTCAGAAGAATATGTATGTATGTATGTATGTATGTATGTATGTATGTATGTATGTATGTATGTATGTATGTATGTATGTATGTATGTATGTATGTATGTATGTATNTGTATGTATGTATGTATGTATGTATGTATGTATGTATGTATGTATGTATGTATGTATGTATGTATGTATGTATGTATGTATGTATGTATGTATGTATGCATGCACATATGTATGTATGCATGCATGCATGCATGTATGTATGTATGTATGTTTCAAACGTAAATGACCTACATACAAATTCACTAGTACATGCTACAAACAAATAAATGAAAAACTCTAAATCTCGAATTCATTTTCTTTTGCTTTTACAATAACATCTAAACATGTTTTCATTTTACATTTTTTTACATTTACATAAAAAAAACCAGCTAACCATTATTTGAGCCTTGTGGAGAAAATTCGATGGTCCATACCGCAAGCCGAGTCGCAATTATCAAATCCGGGAGTCTTTTCAACACATCTTGCTTCACCTCACCTTCCAATCCTGGCATCGCAAAATCATCATCCAGGCAAGATTGAAGGCTGTTGACGGCAGTCTGCAACCACGTTTTGATGTTATGAGTGTGAAACATGAAATCTTGCATATTTTGTATCTTTTGGGCATCTTCTAATTCATCCACCTCCTTGAGGGTCTTCCGCAGGTCATCAACACCATCATCAATGGCATCTAAACAACCCTTGACAGCGGCATGCTCGTTGGCCCTTAAATTTCTATGACGAACCCAATGAGTCATGTTTGCCATAAGGATCAGGCCTCTTTGAAGGCCAAAGTTGATGACCTTACGAATGGTGTTGTTAGGATCAACCTCTTTGTCTTTCTTTAATCTCTCTATCGCTTTCTTGCATGCCTCCGGGTTGCTTGCGCTTTCGCATATATTTTCGGTTAACGCTGACACAGGATTTGTTGCGATGAGGCAAAACACCGATAACTTCAATAATAAAGAGATGGTGAATTTGAACATACTTTTCCCCTTTTCATGCATAAGGATGACTTTTCTATGATTTTTTTTAGTTTGATAATACTTTTTTGTTTATCTTTCTTCACGCCTGTTTTTACGTAAAAGTTGAAGAAACGTCTGAGAATAGGTGGTGGGAATGTTTTTTTTTTTTTGTGAAAAAATAGCATTGAAAAAATAAAATCAACATCTTTTATCCAACGAGGGAAAGATCTTGATTGAGAAACTGTATTTAGATTATATCATTCCTCACCGTAAATCACGTAATTTCTGTTCAAAAAGGTTATATCCTAAAAAATAAAAAAGAACGAGAAAATCAAACAAAGCTATTGTTTTTTTTTAATTAACATGGATATCCAACCCGCTATGCAAACTGACTAATCGCAGGGCGACTACCTGCTTTGCAGATAGCCCGGGGTCATCGCATTTGAACCTCCGTAGTCACAAGGAGATTTTTATTTCTCCTTGGATTTGAACCTGAGACCTCCTGTTACTTTTGACCTTTGAAGCCAAGCTCAAACCAATCAAGCACCACCCTTGTGGTTTCAAACAACGCTATTGTCATTCACTCTTTCTCAAATTTAGGAGGCATAGTGTTTTCACAACAATCATTAAAGATAATTATTAAATATTTTATTAAAATTAGAGATCAGTAATCTTACGTTTACCCTAAAAAATCTATAGTTAATTATAAGATCGTAACTTTTTACATACATCTAAAAATCTACCATTTGTCCTTACATACTCGGAAATTCATAATCAGATTTGCTAGAAAAACATAACTGTTTCGTATTCAAATTGTAATAATCAAATTTGCCACATATTCAACCACCTCATTATAACTGGTTAAATTTTCGTCTCTTTTATACCTTGTTCATATATGTATGTTTCTTATAAAGTTGATCCATAATAGTTTCTCGGCGATGCATGACGAGGGTCATTTGATTGTATGTAGTATTGCCTAATCTAGAGGTGCCCAGATGGATCATTGCTCAAGTCGACCCTACCAAGTCTGGTTTGGTCTGTAGAACCAAATTATCAATCAAACATTTTTAAGGCCGGGCTCGATTATAACCATGACCAATTCATACTCCTAGTTCAAACCCGAACCAAATGATTAAAAAACTGTCGAGAGACATAATCAATAAAGTCATGCATGGAGGTGTTATTATGATATTGTGAGAGGACAACAAAACAAGACAATACTAGGAAACTTTTTAAATATCTAAAAAGATTTTTTTAAGATAAATGGAGTAAACTATAAAATTTTAGGGATTTTTGGCAATTGTTGAATGGTTTGGTGTATAATAATTAAGTAATCAGAATGATTAAGAGACTCTCATGATATAGTGCAAAATAAAATATAATTGTTTGGTAATTTTATACAATGAAATTAGGGCTCTTAATGGTTTAGGGAGATCCAAGATACAAAATCATTCATAGAGTTTTAGAACCATTAAAAGACAGATTTTTTTTTATCAAACAAGATTTACCTCTTAACGATTCAAATGTTGCCTCTTAATGAAACTATTAAGAAGTAAATAAATAACCCCTTACCGAATCCCGTATCCAAATTTTCCCAAAATTTTATGTATGTCATAATACCTTTTAATTGTTTTTAGTTTTTTACGTGTAATATTTGAATAAAAAATTAATTATCAACAACTTCAATTATTCTCGTATGAAATCCACCTTCAAGGATCGTATCGATGTTTTGTATTTAAACAAAGTCATTTCATCTTTTATCGAAATGAATTTTTTATGTAATGTTTGGGATTGCTTATTTGAAACAAGTTATGTTTTTTTATAAAAGCACTTATCAACTTATTATAAGTCAAAAGAGTTTAACTTCTTTAAAAACTCTTTATTACTGGTTTGACACCGATATAAGTTGTTTATTCAAACAATCAAAAATGCTTATTACCGATATTACATCAAAATAAATCAATAAATTATTTTTATAAGCAATCCAAACACCCCTAATGGATTCCATCTCGTAACAAATCTTATAATCGATTTTAAGAACAAATTTATGATCTTACTGATGGTGTAATTAACACCCAGAAGACGATTATAGATATGGATGATCTATTATATACATTTAGGGATGAAGAACTTCAGCAAAACAACAGGAGTGTGGAAAGTTTAAGCTTTCACGACTCTACCACCTGGTGATTTGATCCGAAAAACATGCTCTTCGCCTGTGCATTTATCGACTTTAACCACCCAATTACTCCGCCTTCCACCACCGTTGCCGCCGTGGCCGCCATTCTTGCTACCACTGTTCTCAGATTTTCCGGCGATTCTCATCAATAGCAGTCCTTCTCCTATGGGCAACAAGTGGCTATTTGATCTGCTCCACACCCATGAGTCCTTCCAAAATGCATTATACCCCAAAACGATCGTACTCTTTTCCCTCTTGTTCCCTTGTATCGCTCCTAGAATCCCTTCATGGTTCTCTAGATTACAGTCGATGACCACAAGATCAGCAGATTTGTAGTCATTTGACAAGAGAGATTGAGCATTTCCTACAACAAACTCAACTTGGTTCGCGTCTGAGTTAAGGGCTTGCTTGGAGGATTGAAGTTCTTCTATCCCCTTCACGATGCAGATCAGCCGCCCACCTGTTTGATGAGATGCCGCGATGAGGCCTAGGGTGGTCGAGCCGGCCGTGGCTGCACATGCAACCACCATCAGTTGAGCGTTGTTTCCCGCTGCAATCGCTGAGATGAACTCAGCTACATCTGGTTCCTGAGCTCTCTTACTCTGCATAGTCATAATCAAGATAAGTCCCCCATAACAGTTTTGATGATTTTACAAGAAGGATGGTTGGACCAAAATGAAAAAGATGTTCAAGAAATTGATCAAAACACAAAATTTCTCATAAACCTACCATTTTCATGGTTTTGATGTAGGCCTCAGTGGCGTTTTCAGCTGACCAATAACCCATTTTTCTTCGACAATTTCTTGTGAGAGCTTCTTTCTGTATTGCCTTGAAAGAAGCAGAAAGGATTTTGAAACTTAAAGATGAATGCTTTGCCCATGTGGGTACTGGCTATATATATATGTATAGACCAGAAGAAACAATAAATGAGATGGATAGAATAAGTCCCAAGTGGGGTTGCTGGCTTGACTCAATGCCTTTTATTAATAAGTTATCAGCAGAATTATATCCAGTAACAGTGAAAACTGTAATTCGCCTGTCCTATTGCTCAGTGAAGGTAAAGTGTTTAGCATAAGGTATAAGGGTACCTGTTGGTGAAGTGGTCTAAATCCTTGGGACATGTTAATGACTCAAAAGATGCATTTAACCCCAAAAATAGTATTAAAGACTAAAGGTGTTTTTAAACCACAAGTCCTAAAGGGTGCATGTAGCAACACCCTTTTGAAAAATGACTTCGGGTGTCTGGTGATCTTTGGTTGTTAGATTATGAGGTTCCGTGTATTCTCACATGGTATCAGAGTCAAGGTCTATCACTCTAGGACTCGACACTCAAGGGTAATCTATACTCGTCTTACCCCTCTCAATGCTTTGGAACGATGAGCCCATCTAGCCCACTCGAGTCTTTGAGACAATCTGTGCCTATATAGCCTTTGTTGTAGGGGCATGTCAGAGTTCCATACCGGTTAGATTTGGATCATTTCTTCTCAATATATGTTAGATCCGTCTTTCTCTCCTCAAGGGCTCTTTTGGAGAGTATTCTAATGAGGTTACACATATTCTCACAGTTAGGAGGGGGTCCTGTATGTTCATGGAACTTTTGGGTCATTGATCTGTCCTAGGGCACCAATTCGCTTTCGGCGTGGATGCCATGTTCAATAACATATCCCAACTTCATTGATTATTTGAAGCAGGGACGGACCCAGAAATTTTTTCAAACGGTGGCACCATTTGACTAAGAGTGGGGTGGAATAAAAGTCTTGCAAACCAACTCTACCAAATAAAACTTGTTCTCATTGTAACTTCAAAATACATATGGTGGCACACAACAAATTAATACGGTTGCACCTTTCACGAACCTAATTTTTTTTACCCTTCGACAGAGGAATAATACGGTGGCATGTGCCACCATATGCACCACTATAGGTCCGTCCATGATTTGAAGTGGGTTTCCGGGGACTAACTTGCAGCTTAAACCCAAAAAGTTCTTCTAAAGATGGAAGACGAGTTCAAGTACAGCATTGGCTTTTAGTAGTAGTAGCTTTGCTGTCCGTGGTACAGTTTCAGTCCTGTTTCTCGTGTTAGGGTCGAAGACCCCTTTGGTCGTGATATAATATGGTCTTTAGAAACATCTTCTTGCCTTTTAAGCCATTGACTTGTACCTGAGGTCCAAGACCCTGAAGGCACTCATGTTCAAGGATCATATCCTAGATCTTATTAATGACTAACTTGGTACCTTGAACACCAAAAACCGCATTCTTGAAGATGTGTTTTTTCGGACATTTTTGATATATATCATGAACGTCTAATCCGCAGGACATGATTTGAGAGCTTATATCGAGGGTATGTTAGTATGTATCCCTTTTCATCTACCATATCCTGACTTAATTCACAATTATCATTAAATTTGCAGGGACAAGAAGTGCTTAACAATTAATCCCACTGTTTCCTGGGTGTTTCTGGTGTAATTGCACATACTTCCATCCCTTGATGATCAATATATAATCTATTTAGCTGTCATGTTGTTTAGCAGAGGGACAGTTGAAAGTTTCCATGGAAGAATCTGACTTTGATTAATGACTTTCTTTAAAGATTTGCTAGAACCAACCATTTAGAAACAAAAACCATGTTAGTTTCTGACACAAATCCAGCAAAATCTGTATTATTTAATGTCTGAAGTCGTCAGATTTTGGGTTCAAACTATGGGGAATCATTAGATTAATCATAACTTTTGTCTTAATCTTATCTTAATGAGTATATTATAATAAGAGGTGTGTTGTGTTTTGCAGAAGCAGGAGTGGGTGGTGCAGTTTTGCCTCCCAAACTCTCAACCGAGATCTACATCTGTTGTAGATGTTTCCTTCACCAAACGTCTTAATAGATTCATCATCAACAATATGGTACACTTTTGTCCTATTCTCTCTCTCTCATATTCTTCGTGCTATCTTCGTCTCATTGAAATCGTAAAAAACAAATCAAAATAAAGTGTCTTATGAAAATACCACGTTTTTTCGTACCAAGAACGATGCTATGACGTAAGTTTTTGTAAGACTCATCTCAACTCACCCGCAAGAGGAGATAGATCTATTCGTAGGGTTGGGTCCTGTTGGAGACCAGTCACTTGTCATTAGACCCGTGAAACCACTTCGAAGACTTTGGATGTGTGTTTTTTTAACGAATCTTCACAACCTCATGAAAAACATCGAGCATTCACGGAAATAATATTGAACCTTCACGACCTGCACATGGAAAACACAATGAACTTTCATAGGAAAAACACACTAGATCTTCACGAAAAGAACGTATTGAACTCATTTATATAGAAGAAATTATTTTTTACAACCATATAAGTACTTTTGGACTATGGCAATATTAAGTGTGATGTTTCTTAACTACAAGGGTGGTGCCTGATTGATTTGAGTTTGGCTCCAAAGGTCAAAATACCTGGAGGTCCCAGGTTCAAATCCAAAGAGGAATAAAAATCCCCTTGTGGCCACGAAGGTTCAAATGTATTGACTCCGGGCTATCTGCAAAGCAGGTGGTCACCCTGGGATTAGTCGGCTCGCATAGCGGGTTGGATATCCAGGTTAATCAAAAAAAAAAAGTGTGATGTTTCTTATTTCATTTTTAGTAAAATGATTATTTATTTAAGAGTAAAAACCCAAATACTAATGGTTTAGAAAATTAGAGTTCGTTTACCGAAACACTTATCCAATCGGTAAGATTCAGTATTATCACTTACCTTACCGGGTAAAATCTTAGTTTATCAAAAACGGCATCGTATGCAACAATTTTACTCGGTAGGTGCTAACGTACAAGAGTCGTCACCTTCACCTATCGTCGGTCCTTGTCATCGTTCTTACCATGTAAGATTGTCGGTTCTTGTCATATTCATCCAGAAATGTAATGTAACTTGGTAAATGTTTACAGAGTATGCATTTGCTAAACGACCCCTTAATTAGTCAAAGATGGAAATTTATAAAATAAAAAAATGGTTTGTCGTTTTGTTGGGTGAGTTTGAATGGATTTGATAGAGAAAACAAAGTCATGTATGGAGGGGGAGGATGAATGAGTAATGAGATGGAGAAACAAGCAAACAATGTTATGGGCTAAAAGGAATTTGAAATGAATTGAATGGTGACAAGGGAACATTTCTACTACATATTGTCAACCTTTGTTTTCTTTAATTTGGTTTGTTTTTTTTATTAACCTGAATATTCAACCTGTTATGCAAGCTGACTAATTTTAGGACGACCACTTGTTTTACAGATAGCCCGAAGTCACCGCAATTGAACCTCCGTGACCACAAGGGGATTTTTGTTCCTCCTTGGATTTGAACATGAGACCTCCTGGTACTTTTGACCTTTGGAGTTGGTATGTTTTTCATATCATATGAAATACACGGGTTCAAGTGAGAACATGATAACTTATGAGAATACGAGAATAGATCACGAGTAATTTTACTTTATCATTATTATGATTAACTTGCCAAAATTTAATTAATATAGACGTTTAAGTAATTTTCATTTTATTATTATGATTAACTTTTTTACCTAATATTGATTGTTGCATGTTTACTTTATAATATACACAAACACATAATTAAGAGGTTGTTTGTTTACCTTTTAATAGTTTCATTAAGAGACAGCCTCTGAACCGTTAAGAGGTGAATCTTGTTTGGCAAAAAAAATATGTCTCTTAATGGTTCTAAAACCCTCTTAATGATTTTGTATCGTGTGTCTCCCTTAACCATTAAGCGTCCTAACTTCATTGTAAACAATTATCAGACAATTATATTTCATTTTGCACTATATCATGAGAGTCTCTTAATCATTCTGACCACTTGATCATTCTGCACCAAACCATTCAACATATGTCAAACATCCCCTAAGACAGATCCTAAACCCAAATTTTGTTTCCGACAACAGCTTTAATATTTAACACACACATATATATAAAGGTGAGTTATTATGCAACTTTTTACATACAACCAATACAACTCAACTTCAACCGTCTATTTAATTTTATGAATATGTGATTTCATAAAAGTGTTGATTGTTTCCTAATATAAAGTATTGATTATAATTAATAAATTTTAGTCATCTTCCATAAATATTCAAATCATAATCAATGAACTTTTATCATTTACATAAATATTTCAATTGATTGGGTTGCATTAGTTGTATAAATGTGATAAGTTGCATTTAAAATGTCATCTATATATATTTCAATCATTTATGATTTAGTAAAAGTATCAAATCTAATTTTCTTTATTCTTCTGATATAATACATTTTTTACATCCAATTAATAATGAAAAAAAAAAGTTCATGTAATTTATGATTGTATAGTTATAATTGCATCAAATATAATTTTTATGCTTAGTATAAAAGTACGTAAAATAACATTATTTTGGGTCGTTAAAATACATACAGTTATTTATTTATCTATTTTTAGGTGGTGTTTGGTTTATAAAGTAGATCTATCAGGATTGCAATCTATCAAAGAAATTAGAATTTGAATGAATTAAAACAGGATTGAATTAGATTTGACCATACGTTTTGGCTGGTAAAAATTATAATGAAATATGTCAAAAGAATTTGAGTACAATAGTGATGGTTGGGTTGAGGTGGTACTAGTGGCGATGTGATGGTGATAATTGTTGTGATAACAATGATGGTGACGGTGGTGATGATAACAATGGTGGTGGGGGAGAAGGCGACAGTGGTAAAAGTAGTGGCGATAGCGACAACAACGATTGTGCTGGTGGTGATTGGCAGTTGTGATGACAACCATCTTGGGTTATAATGCACCGGTTTTATGTGATCATTTATTTTTCATTGTTAAAACCTTGTTTTATAT